CCCCGCGCTCCCCCCCTCGAGCGGAGTGGTGCGGTCCGCGTGCAGCGCCCCCTGGCGGCGCCGCGGTAACCGGAGCCCCGCCCCCCACCGGGAAACACCGGGGACGTTCCCCGCTATAAAAAACCCCAAAATCCCCCAAATTTCCGCCCGGATTCCGCTTTATTGGCCTCTCCCCGCCCTTCACCGCGCGGGGGCTCAATAAATTACCGGCGCCCGTCCCGCCCCCGGCGGCTTTTCCGTCGGTACCGAGAGATAAATACGGAGAATTTTATAAAAATACACCCGGGAACCGCGCTCGGGGCTTTTCCGTCGGTACCGAGAGATAAATACGGAGAATTTTATAAAAATACACCCGGGAACCGCGCGTGGGTATAAAAATCTCTGTGGGTATAAAAACCGCTATAAATAACGCAATAAATTAAAGTTCAGCTTGTGCCGGCGCGTTCGGGAACGCCCCCGGAGCCCCCCAAAAACCCCTGGAGACCCCCAAAAACCCCCGGAGCCCCCCAAAAACCCCCCAGGGTCCCTGGAACTCCTCAGAGCCCCCCAAAATCTCCCAGAGCTCCTGGAGCTCCCCCAAAACCCCCTGGAGACCCCCAAAGTCTACCCCAGAGCTCCTGAATCTCCCCAAAAAAAACCCCCAAAATCCCCTGGAGACCCCCAAAGTCTACCCCAGAGCTCCTGAATCTCCCCCAAAAAAAACCCCAAAACCCCTGGGGACCCCCAAAATCCTTGGAGCCCCCTGGAAACCCCCCAGAGCTCCCATAGAGACACCCCCAGAACTCCTGGAACATCCCAGAGCATCCTGGAACATCCGGAACTCCTGGAGCTTTTCGGAGCTCCTGAAACCCCCCGAAACCCCCCAAAAAAAACCCCAAAACCCCTGAGGACCCCCAAAATCCTTGGAGTCCCCTGGAAACCCCCCAGAGCTCTCATAGAGACACCCCCAGAACCTCCTGGAACACCCCGGAGCATCCTGGAACACCCCAGAGCATCCTGGAACATCCAGAGCTCCTGGAGCTTTTCAGACCCCCCAAAACCCCCCAAAAAACCCCCCAAATCCCCTAATCCACGCCCAGCACCCCGAAGTAGGCCTGGCCGGCGGCGTGCAGGTCCAGGAAGCGTCCGGCCGAGGCGGTGGCGGCCAGCTGGTCGCCGCGGCGCAGCTGGAACACGGCGCCCTGGTACAGGGACTCGGCCCAGGGACCCCCGGCACCGGCACCGGCGCCGGCGCGGCACACGGAGCGCGCGGCCCGCAGCAGCGGCACGTCCCGGGGGTACTCCGGGGACAGCCGGGACACGGCCAGGCGCAGCGGGCGCGGGCAGCGGCGGCCCTGGAAGGCGGCGGCGGCGTAGACGAAGTAGAGCCCGTCCCGGGGCACCACCAGGCGGTTCCCCCGCAGCCGAACCCCGTTCCGAACCAGCGCCGGCGCCACGGCCGCCTGCCACACCAGGGAGCGCGGCGGGGAGGGCCACGAGGAGGCTGGGGAGGGGAAAAAATAGAAATAAATATCAGAAAAGATACAGAAATACCATAAAAACACCCCAAATCCCCAATAGAACACCTCAAATCCCCAATAGAACACCCCAAATCCCCAATAAAACGCCCCAAATCGCCGCCTGCCACACCAGGGAGCACGGCGGGGAGGGCCACGAGGAGGCTGGGGAGGGGAAAATAGAAATAAATATCCTAAAAGATACGAAAATACCATAAAAACACCCAAAATCCCCAATAGAACACCCAAAATCCCCAATAGAACACCCCAAATCCCCAATAGAACACCCCAAATTGCTGCCTGCCACACCAGGGAGCGCGGCGGGGAGGGCCACGAGGAGGCTGGGGAGGGGGAAAAATAGAAATAAATATCAGAAAAGATACAGAAATACCATAAAAACACCCCAAATCCCCAATAGAACACCCCAAATCGCTGCCTGCCACACCAGGGAGCGCGGCGGGGAGGGCCACGAGGAGGCTGGGGAGGGGGAAATAGAAATAAATATCAGAAAAGATACAGAAATACTGAATAAATATCCCTAAATACACAAAATCCCCATAAAAACACCCCAAATCGCCAATAGAACACCCCAAATCGCCGCCTGCCACACCAGGGAGCGCGGCGGGGAGGGCCACGAGGAGGCTGCGGAGGGGAAAATAGAAATAAATATCCTAAAAGATACGAAAATACCGAATAAATATCTCTAAATAGACAAAATCCCCAATAAAACACCCCAAATCGCCGCCTGCCACACCAGGGAGCGCGGCGGGGAGGGCCAGGAGGAGGCTGGGGAGGGGAAAAAATAGAAATAAATATCAGAAAAGATACAGAAATACCATAAAAACACCCAAAATCCCCAATAAAACACCCCAAATCGCTGCCTGCCACACCAGGGAGCGCGGCGGGGAGGGCCACGAGGAGGCTGGGGAGGGGAAAAATAGAAATAAATATCCTAAAAGATACAAAAATCCCATAAAAACACCCAA